TAATACTATATATAAAGTAAACCAAAAGAAGTTTAAAATGTTAATTTGTGAGAGTTGTAATGTATCATATTTTGACATTTTTAACGAAGTTTTTCCAATAATTACAGTAGTTAATTACGAAAATAAAGAATTTAGAAAATAAAGATTAAAATAAATTTTTATTTAATATAAAAAAAAATATTAAATAGCAAACTGTAATATACATAGAGTCATATAAGTATACAAACAAAATGATAATGATTAATAGTGATTATAATCAAATAATAAGTCATCTTTATTTCTTGTGAACACGCAAGTTACATCGGTCATTAACATCCTTATACAAACAAGCCTACGCCTTCGTTAATTTACGCAGCTCGTAGAATTTGATCACTTAGTAATAATCTGCAAAATAGCAATGTTATTCGATATGATCTTAAATTCCTCTGCGTTCTCGCGGCGCCGTCGGAGATTTTCAAGTAGCTCCGAACTTTGCACTTCGCTAAACCCTGTCGATCGTGTCGCCCACACGAATATTAACTTCGGCAATTAATATGAACGAATACCATTTCTTGTCCCCCGTTTCTCGTCACCCGAACGACAGAACGCCCACATTCGAGGGATATCCGTGAGCCACGACGGGATCATTATAAGATAAATTAATATACGCCGGAGTATTACGAGAACGAAGAGCTTGAAATTCCATTCCGCCCATTGTTCTAACCCTAATCTATTCGACGATATCTTCATTTTTCTCTCGAGTACTCTCCTTTCCACGATTATACATTCTTCTGTATTGCTCTTGCTTCTTTGATACTTCTTCGTCTTCTCCTTTTGTTTCCGAAGATTAGTATAATTATGTCGTCGCCACGTCCGGTAGCGTTTTCTCTGTCTTCAAGAGAGTTTTGCTTTTCTTGCACGAACATGAATTTTCTCTTTTCATTTTTTTCCTCTTTATTATGCTCTCTCTCTCTCTCTCTCTCTCTCTCTCTCTCTCTCTCTCTCGAAAAATAAAAAAATGTTTTACTTTCTATATACTTTTGCTGAAAATACTTCAGTTCAGACTAACAAATATTTTAATATTTTTTAACAAATATTTATCATTCGCTAGTACTTAGATATACCAAGGAAAACTATGCGACAAGTTATATTACACGAAAATCCTAATCGCATGAGAGGCCGGTAATAACAAATTTTGGCCACAATGACATTAGAACGGTGAAGCGGCAACGCTGCGTTAATCCTGTCGAGCAAAACGGTTAACGAAGCCATTTACATCGCAATTACTATGATTCATGTAACCGTGAAACCCGGTTGCAACCAAAATTTGTCTCGTTGCGCGGCAGGTTAATTGCCTGATCCGCGGAATGCGACATGGAAGAGAGTGCGGCTTCTAAAATGCACACGGCAAGACAAGTCGACTGCTTTCCGCCATATAAAATCAGTTCGCATTGCGCTGGAACTGCCGTGGAACCAAAAGTTTGTCAAATGACCGCAATTGTAAGAGAAATTAATTAACGTTTATAAAAGGCAGAATTTCCCATTTAACTAGATTTTTCGGATATAATTTCGCTATATTGACAATTGAATATTGAAATTTATTATTATTCAAAAAATATTTATTCGTAATTAGTTGAATTGCTTGATTAAAAATTTTTAATTGAGGAAACTAATAATCTCAGAGTGTTTGTTGCTTAAGTAATATCATTGTAAGTTTCATAAATTAATGATATATAAGAGAAAAATTTCTTTTTTTTGACAAAAATGTTTTCATTTAAACTTGTTATTTTAATAATATTAATATTATTAACTATCTATAATAATCGTTTAAGATAATAATTATCTACGAAAAAAAATACAAGAATAGAGCGGGTTAATTATAAATATCTCATTATCATTATATTAATATATTATATTTTTTTTCTGAGTTCCTGTTTTTAATAAAGATTTTAACAACATTTAGCTTTTAATTTATCTTCTTCTTTTTAGATAATATATCTTTCTTTTCTTTAAGTATTCATCACAAAAAAGTGTATATGTGTACAGGAATGGCTACAATGTAATAAACTACAGTGAACTCGCTAAACTCAAATAACTGCGTGTGCAAATCAATCATATATTCCTATGGGAACCTCGTTATTATAAAAAAAATATAGGTTACCATCATCTAAAAACCATATAAAATAACGTATGCACATGCATACGTATAATTTTTTTTACGTTATTATAAAAAAAATATAGATTACCATCATCTAAAAACCATATAAAATAACGTATGCACATGCATACGTATAATTTGTACAAATTCATTATTAATTTAGATGCAACATCATCATTACGGAGTTTGAATTCGTAATTACAGTGCCATCGCGGTCAACTATGCTTGTGGGAATCAAGAACCTCTAGTTGCTGCGTGGATGATTTCCTTGATTGAAATTACAGCTAATGAGGACAAGTGCATATTGCAGCGCGTCGGTACGTTGATTAAGTTCAACAAACTTAGTCTTCTCCCGCGATCTTTAGTGAAAAATTATACTTTTAATAACTCAAAGTCATAATTTCAAACACGTTATTCTCGTAATTAGATTTTATTTTTTTCTACCATAAATTGCAGTTGCAATTTATCTAATGAAAATCCGATTAAATTTTCTTCAGATTTTTCAACTACAATATAGAATAAGTGTTCATGCTTAACTGTCACCGCATAAAATTAATGTAAATACTAGTTTTTGTCTTAAATATGGATTGCAATTTACATGTTTTTATTTGTGCAAATAATTATTAATTTTGAAAATTGATATTTTCGAGTTTACTTTTAGAATTCTGGTTCCATCATGCGTGTGACAATATGCATATTTGATTTAATCAATTTAAAGTAAATATTTAAGGTTAATAAATTATATCAACAAAAATTTTATACTGTTTATTGCAATTGAAAAAATTAGAAATACGAAATATTTATATTTTTTTTATTTAAAAAAAACTTCATATTTTTATCGTACATCGCTACAGGGAGAGATATTACGACTATCATGGATGGGATATACGATTCATAAAAAATTTACAAATAATGTTTATAAATAAGATGTAAAATGTCACGGTATTTATAAAATGTGTTTATAAAATTTTTATTAGGGAATACAAACGATAAATATATGTAGAATAGAATTGAGTATTATGAACTTTAAGAAAATTTTGATATTTCTTGCATTGAAGATTAAAAAAAATCTTGTTCCTCTCCCTATTTGATAGATTTGTTGATGTTTTATGTATTTTGACACACACACACACACACACACACACACACACACACACACACACACACACACTGTATGTGTGCATTTGATTATTTCAATACAAATGTTGAAATGATGAAGGATGCTTTTCTATTATCCTTTCAGAGATCATATTAACTCCTAGGTAACATAATAGGACATCTGTATTGATACATACAATATGAGCATAATAATGGGTAATATGAATTGAACAAAAAAAATACAAGAGTTAAGGTATTTTGCTTTGCTTCATCTTTTTATCCTTCTATATTAATGTATCATCGTATATTACCAAATAATTACTGAGTCTTTTACAGTTATCATTTCACGTAGGTTGTAATATATAATTGCGCTTCTTATTTCATTGACAAATCAATTCAATTCACAATAATTTTATTAATATATTAATTATAAGAAATAGAAATCACAACACAATACTAATGTAATTAGAAAGTCATATAATAGAGTTGCATATAAATTACTCTCAAATTATCCCCAAATTACCCTTCGTTCTATTTTTTTCTGACTTCTGCAGAGTAAATCCTCACGTGGCGTAAATATTGAATTTACCTTAATAAGATTGACATTATTAAAACAAAGTTATTAAAAATGATAATTATATTATCGCTATTTCAGTCAAATAACGTAATGTTATTAAACATTGGGAAAGGGAGGATGGTACTTAGAAACTAAATTATTAACATAACAATTTTCAGATACCTAAAATATCGATTTTTCGTTAGGAAAGTAAGATTAATCATTTCACAACATATACGCGCTCTCAGAAACTGATTTCTCGTATGCGACGAAACAAAGCCAGATATTAATTTACGTGCGCAAATATTTGTTTGCGTCTAAACTTTCTAACGAGGTTACGTTCAACCAAACATTTCTCTCAAAGCTAGCCTGCGAGAGGACTGTTTACGAACTACAAAGTGGTATATGACGCGGGAACTTTGAAAATCTCAATACTGTCTGTAAAGCAGAAATCCATTTACTCTGCGCTTGAAATGAATCAGAAATATTTTCATTTGGGCGTGATAGAGTGCTCAAATAATTCAGACCAAAAGTGGTTCAAGTCATTTATCAAATTCATTTGAAGCATAAAATCATAAGTCGTATGAATGAACGTTATAAATGATGGGCTCACTTTTGTAAACCCTTCAATATAATTAACTCTTCAATATAATTAACTTATAACTACTAATACACTAGTAGTTATAATATTTATATACAATTTTTTTAAATACGCAATCTTAAAAATATTTTCTAAAAATGTTGAAGTATATGTAAGATTCACTTAATAATTTTCATTAAAGTAATGAAAATTAATAAAGATTAATGATAAAAATTAACTCGACACGAAACGATTGACAGGAATGACTCATCATAAATATAGTAAAGAATCAAAAGAGACAAAAAAGTCATGTATATTAAATATATTAATATTTCGTTTTCAGAATCGCTGATATCGGAGCCACTCATGTCATTCTGAAGATGAGTAATGACGGGCACAGGAGATGCTTTCGCAGCAGAAGAGCGAGCCGCACGGCTCCATGTTACGCCAATTAAGATTCCGCAGTTCTAAAGAGATCACAAAATTGTGGTGAAGTCAGCGATCGCGTAGCAGACACGGACCTTTATGCCGGTACTCAGCATTAGGAAGTGACAAAAGGCGCAACTGGGATTTAGGAATCCTCTGTTTCCTTCATTGAAATTAGGCGAGATCGGAACAGAGTCGTCAGAATGTTGCGCAACAACGTAATGTCCTTCATGAAGAAGGTAAGCGCTTCGCTTCATGTACACGAAATTTTGAAATTGTTATTTATTATAAAACGATACCCAATTATTGGGCAATATAAGGTTATTCAAATAAAATTATTTATTATGCTGCTTATTCCAATAATTTATCATTATTTCTACTTTCTGAAATCTTTGGATTGAAATCTAATTCTAAAGAATGAAATTTCATTCCTAAAAATTGACTATCAGCTTCTCTTTTTCAACGCTGACACAGTTGTCACTCTTTGTCACTCTTTAGAATTAGATTTCACTCCAAGATTTTAAAGAGTAGGTAAATACAATTTTAATAATCAAAAGTGATGAGAACTGACTTTTTAACATGATATATACACAATATGTACTTATATAATATTAAAAATAATGCTAACCATGATGCTATTAAATTTGCAATGAAACTGAAACTATAGAACATTACTTGTCACAGATTGGATCTTATAGAATAGTTTCATTCGATACACACTGATTTCGTTCGTCTCGATTGGAATGCGAACGAAATCATTTTCGAACGAGTATTTTTAGACGTAATGAAATGTAAAACCATGCAGATATGAATTATACGCTAAAATGTCCATAATTACATCATGGAAGCCGAGCCGCGGAAGCTGTTCAGCGATCCGCTGTATGAATCGAATTAAGATAGAAAACCCTAGTAATCGATAGATCGTGCCCGGAGTACGCATTCAGTTATTTAATGATCGGTTTTATCCTCATGGATACTCCGGGAAACATCGAATATTCAATAGACGGCATCGATCCCTTCGAAATACGGAGCATTTGGAATGGACGATTCCAATACCATCAGATCTAACCTGCGCCTAAGACCTAGGATCGTGTGCGATTAGATACACAGGTACAGGAGGATCACGCTTAAGATCAATGTCAACGCAGAGCTTTTATTCGTGCAAATCGGTCGTTATCTCACAAAAGTCACTTTAGAATTGTAAATTTTCCTTTAACACGATATTTCCATTCTCTTTATCAATGGAAACTGTTCATTTAGCATTAATTGTGCTACGTAATTTAAGCACTCAATAACTAAATACCACAAGCTCGCATTTTAATGTCATAATGTTATAATATACGTCGTCGCAACGATATATATGATTAAAATTGAATATTAAAATCTGCCAATATTGGAAATTAATATTGTTATACTGTCATAATCGCAAATGTCACAATATCTAACTTGACGTTAAAATGATATGAGATACTCCTATATTTATTCTGATTGTGTGTGTGTGTGTGTGTGTGTGTGTGTGTGTGTGTGTGTGTGTGTGTGTGTGTGTGTGCACGCGCATGTGTGTCCGTATGTGTGACTGTCTGTATTTTTTAATAATTACAAGATTGAAAAATAGGGAGAAAAATACAGAAAAGAAAAACATTTTTTCTTATTTCCATCGTTCGGATAAATCGTTGCAATTAATTTAATTCACTTTTTGTATTCTGGGTATTTGTTACAAAACGAATTAATTCATGTTGGGAATTAAAAGCTGGAAATTCAGTTATAGTTAGAATAATAACGTCATGACGGACTCGCTATTAAAGGACAAGCAGTTCGCACTCACAGCACATGTACTCATGACACAAGGATTACATCCTTGATCTTCTCGTGTATAAACTTAATCGTGCATAGTCAGCGTTTCTTTACGTGTACATTCCGCTTTTCTCTGTAGAAAATCTCTTTACGCCACGTCCGCGCCTTTTCCAAAGGTGACTCGGTATGGCCCAACCGAGAGGAAAGCTTTTGCGTGTGGCGTTCCTTCCAACCGATGGAAATGTTTGTACCGTCGGTTCTTTCTTTGCCTTCTGTATTCTCAGCTTCACAATCGCTATGGAATTTTTATATATTATCTCCGGTGTTTCTTCTCACTTTTACATTTCTATTTACATTAATAAGAATACTTAGAAAATACTTTGATCCTTATAATCCTTTAATTTTAGTTACTAACTGCTTTAATGATGTTAAAAAGAATATTAAAAAGAATTACGTTACATTTTAGTTTCTTCTTTTATTTAAACATTTGATACATATTTGATAACAAAGTTAATTTTTCTCATCTGTTTCGTTTTTATGTTTCTTCTGCCTGTCTGTTTCAATCTCTCTCCCTCCCCCCCCCCCCCCCCC